CGGAGCGCCGCGGGCCAGGGGCGGAGAGAGGCGGGTGCGCGTGCGCACTGTGCGAGAGGGTGCGCGTGGTCGCGCTGCTTACGCTGCTTGCCGCCGCCGCGTGCCGGAGCGGTGCTGTGGCGGTTCCTGGGCGCGTGTCTCGCGCCTCTTCGTTTCCCGCCCTTTCCAGGGACGCGAGGCGATGCTGAGGAGAGTGCAGCGCGCTGCGCTGACTCCTGACCCCTGCGTCAAGTGTACTTCTGCGGGGTTTCTTTTAGTAAAAACAACAGAGATCGGGCTTTTTCCTCCTGCCCCTTCGTTTTCAGCTGTCTGCTTACCTGTTGTTGCCTCGCAGCGCTCGCAGGTTTGTTGGTTGGGGGCTGAGGTGCAGCGGGCTGAGCTCCGTAGGCACGCAGTTTTCCCGAGGCTTGGTTGCCTGTTTTTTTTTGGTTGTGTGGTTTCTGGTTTTTGGATCATTCTGGAAATCGATCCCTGTGCAGAATAATGGGGTGTTGAGAGGAAAAGGAGTGCTCTGGAGAAGAGCCCCCAGGAGGGTTCTGGGGCTGGCAGCCACCTGCCATAGTAGACACACAGTTCTGAGAGATTTATTTTGGTTTTGTTTTTTAAGAGTATGTGTTGCAAAGGGACTTGGTGTATCACAAAGAAAAGAGCTCGCCATGTATGTCCTTTACCTGCAAAAAAAGAAGGAAAAAGATTTCTGTTCCCATCAGCTGTTCTTGGGAAAAGCTTCCCTCATAAATTGTCTTCAGTATTTTTCAGGGCTTTCTGGACATTAGCAAAAAGCTAATGATTTTGGATTTGGATTTGATTTTGGATCTCTTCACTGCCTCTGCATGCAGAAGTGCATGAGGTACAGATCAGCAGTGCTGTGTGCTGCACCTCATGTGTGCAGCTGCAGCTAGAGCAAGTCCTGATGTGAGGAGAAACTAACTGGGAGAAAATGGCTCTACAAAGAAATGGAGTTGTGTATTCTGTGCTGATCGAATGGGTCTGTCAAAGTGATTTACTAGAGAAAAAGTAAATGGGGCAGAACACTCCTCCCTGACACTGATCAGGTTAAAAAAGATGTTTTGTTTAGAAACAAGTTGAGAAAGTGAAAATAATTCTACAACTGGGAATCTAGTTTTTTTTTTCTATTCATCTTCTATGGCAAGATTACTAATTGTAATCCTTGGGAAGAAGGTCTGGAAACCACTGAAGTAAAGGTTTATATAGGTTACTAATAATGTGCCAGCTTTTATTTTGTTGTCATCTAAATGGAGTGTCTGCCTTCACTGAACTGAAGGTCAAAGACTTACAACTTTCAATCATGACTGAGTTTGCACTGTAAGAAATTACAGGCTTGGTGCGTGCATCAACTCTACAGATTTTAATAATTATTGTTGTCGTTCTTGGCAGCTTTGGTGAATTGTCCAGGAAGAAGGTAATGATGTGTAAAATATAACTGCAGGAGATGTAACAGGGGGTCCTGTGCAGCATTTCCTATGGAAAAGAGCTGGGCACAGGCACTTGAGTTCAAGGCTGTTTGCTGTTGCTGAGCAGAAGTTGGACAGTCCAGGAAGCATTTTGGAGTAATCCATGGAGTAGATTAAAATGCTGTCTTATTTTATTAGGGAAGCATTTTCCAGCACTATATCTGTTGAATGCTTTAAAACAACGACAACAAAAAGCCCGTGTGCTGGGGTGCTAGTGACTTCTCTTACCTTCCAATCTGATTTTTGCACTTTCTCTTGTATCAAGAGAGGAAGGTGGAGTATATGGTCCTATCTGAGCACAGAGTTCACATCATAATTAAAGAATAGGTTGTAGCAGTAAGCAGTAGCTCTGTGTTGGAATGCATATAGAAATGTCCAAACACAAACCTTAAATATAAAAACTGGTCTGGCTGTGCTAGAGCCATCGTCTTTCTGTGAGAGTCTGGACAGGATTCACATGCGTGACTGAATAGAAAGGTGTTTGTGTTGGATGTGGACGATGAGCTAGGTGTGTGGAGGACAAAGGTCAGTGGCCATGTACTGGTATGTGCTGAAGTACCAGGGTCTGTTTTGTTTTGCTGGAGGCAGAGAGCCCTTAAAAGCCAAACTGAATGCTGTAGAAATAGTGTCACATTGTCAGGCAGCCTTATGCCCCTGAAAATTCTTGAACCAACCAGCTGCCCAATGAACAGTTGTGCTGCTGTGCTGCTGCCTTCAGTGCAGTCAGTGCTGAATGCCTGCTTGGTGACAGTCAAGCTTCTGACTCTGTTCAAAACACTTCTTCTAGGTACTTGTTATCAAATTCTGAATTGCTTTTATTCCTTGTGTCAGCTTTTCATTGTATACATAGTTTTTAAAATGACCTATTTCATATCTGATTGCTTCTGAATTCCTCTGCAAAGTACACTTAGCATAAACCTTACATAAACCACAATGTTGCTTTGTTGGCCTTTTTCTGAAGACCTAGGCCAGATTTCTTCCTCAACAAAATGACCTCTTAACCATTGAGTTTTTAACATGGAAATGAGTCATAAAATGTGTGCTACTAAAACCCTGCATGTACTTTCCAGTGTCCTGAGACAGAACTGTACCTCGTTCAGAGAAAGTTGCACTGGCTGTCTGAAAATTGCCTGATAAAATGTTCAGTTTTCTACTGGTCTGCTGTTCTATATCTTGTCTTTGTATGAGATACTCACAGGCAGTATTCTGAGTTTTCACTAAGTTTAGATGTTTCGTGTTTATTTGCTCTGTTTCTGGTATCAGACACAGGGAAGATCTCAAGTTCTGGGGAGTTTCAGTTCATGGAATGAAGTTGATTGGCATTTTAGATGCTTTTTAATCTCAACTGCACAAGAGAAGCAGCAGCTAATAACACCTTTCAGATCCATGATTTGACTTGGATTACTTGGCGATTGCACTGAAAATACCTATTGTAGAGGTAGATAATTTTCATAATAATCTTAGTTTCAAGAAGTTGCCAACTTTATGATCCAGGTTTTTATTTCTGCTACTGTATTATTACTAGTAGTAGCCAAATCTGGATTTGATTATGCTCTGATCTATGAATTACTTTTTTTTTTTTTTTTTAAGTATATTCCAGTAGGATCCTTTCTGCTATCTACTGTAAAATAAGAACTACGGTGATTAAATAAATCTGTACAACTTTTCTCCCCAGACTCGTATTTAGAAGTTAATTAGCTCATTAGTTAATGAAGCCAAATCACTGTGGTGCTGCCTAGAGTCTCCATTTGTAGTAAAATTTTGGGAAAAGAAAACAAAAACACCTAGAAAATAGAAAAAGTTTTGTCTCACTTTTTGTTTCTGTCACAGGTACCTTCAGAAATGCTGTCACCTACCCTTCTGTGGCAGCAGGGCTTTCCATGTTGGAGCTGATTAGTAAGATAATAGTCCTTTTGTTTCCTGTAAGTGTCATGTATGACAGTTTTTTTTCTTCATGATTTTTTTTTTAACATTCTACATTCTTCATGCATCAACAGCAGACATAGGTAGAGAGGCTGCTGGAACTATGAATCCCTCCTTCCCCAGACCTGTTATGTAGCAAATACCAATTTATTTGAAGAGCAAAGCAGCCTGTATGCGTCCAGAAGTCTGCTAGCAGATACACCTCTGTTCATGTGAACAGAAGTATTTGTATGTATGCCCTATGACATGCTGCTCTGTTTTCTAATGCTCACGCAGAAGCACACGCACTGTAACCAAGTGAGCAGTTTGAGAACACCCCAGGTTCATTACAGGTGCCCAAACACAGTCTCGTATTCTCACAGGCTTCAGTTTTTACAAATCTTTATATTTGTATGTTTTACCACTTGCGGTTTCTTTACGTTAATGTATGTCTGTTTATTTCAGCCACATGGGTAGGTGATTAATAGAAATACATTGGAGAACCACCCACAGAATGCCTTTTGGAGAAGTTATTCTAGTAATTCATGACAGAATTATTTTTACGGAGTTACTCCAAGAGAGTTATTTTTCAATAATTGGGAAATTCAAGTTTTCTGATGTATTGAAACAAGGTAATGAAGGCTTTGACAAGTTCTGCCTGTTGTTCAGTGCTTTATCTGTGCTTGGTGACTCTAAGCAGAGTTTGATCTACTGTTTCTGAGACCAAGAGTTTGATGCTGTTGAAATAGAGTGATGTATGAATTTTCATATGCCAGATAACAGTACTTTCTATTTTTCTTTTCTGATAACCTTTCCAGTGAAAGGAAGGCTTTTCTCTGGAGCACTTAATTCTGTGTAACAGTGAAGCTCGTATTAGGAAATGCTCATAAGTGGGACTACTGAAAGGTCTCGATATCTCTAGCACTTTGTGCTTTCTTGCTATGTTTTTAAGTCTTCATCAGTTGCCTTCTAGATACTGATGCTATCTCCTCTGACAGTGTGGACCAACAATAGAAGCTAACTGCACTGTGAGCATGTTTATCCCAAATTTGTCCTCCTTCAGGAGTGCACTTTTGGTACATGCTTGCTGTGACAGTGAATGCTAAGCTGCTCAATAACAGCTTTGAAATACAAAGTCTGCTACGTTGGGGTGTTTCTTGCCTTTTAACCTGAAATAAGTGTCACATATAAAATTGGTGGCTCACGTCTGCTGTTTGAGAAAGCTGTAGAGACATTAATCAAGCTATTAATTTTTGGTAGTGTGACAGTAATAACAGTTCTATTTCCATTACGTTTGTCCTTTAACTTTTCAATGGTATTACATGCCTTCATAGAAGGTGGAAGTACAAGTAATATTTACATCTTCCAAACTACTTGGAATTTATTAATGTGCATCACAGTTTGTTGCATTTCTTACAAGTGAACAAATTTTAGCAGGTTGGTGTGATATTATGTATCTGTTGTTTAGGAGATCGGCTCGCTTGGATGGAGCTTCATAGAGTACGAAGATCACTCGTTTTGTTGGGTGCGATGTGTCACCAAGTGTAACATTATGTTTCTTGAGTGTTTAAGTGTTTAAAAAGTTGTTTTCAAAAAACGGCTTAATTTTCAGTACACGTTAAGTGTGAATACTTATAAAATCTACTGTTTAATTATATAAAATGTAACAAAGTAAATACATCCAGCATCATAACGTTTTATGCTATATTACTCTATAATCAATTCACTGACAATTTTCACTGACAATACGTGAGCAGACGAGTTATGTTTACTTGAATCTCCAGTAGTATCTTCTTCTGCTTCGGTATCTGAAGTAAATTATCTCCTATTCCAAAGATTGTGAGTGATGAGTATTAGCAGCAACACGAGCTCCCTGAGATTTCTTTAATTGAAATATTTTTATAATAGTCCCAGGTCCTCTGTGTAAATGAGTATTCTGAAGGTAGTTACAGAAGAGTGGTCCTTTGCAAAGCTGAGTTTTCAAGACAGGGAGTTAAAAAACAAAACAAGCTTCTTTTTTTCTTTTTCCCTCACTGTTCATTCTGAAACTATGACCTGATGGATGTCAGTAGACTGTAATACATTTATTCCGTGTGGTGGTGGGAACAGGGAACTTGTTATTTCATTTGGGCTGAGTGAACTGGAGTCACTCTGAGCTGAGCCCCCACTGCCATCAAATTGAGAGATTTTCTTCTTGATTATTTTTCTTTCTTTGGCTCGGCGATTCTGGAACCAGATTTTTACCTGCAATGTTATAAGTCTGATTAGTTTAAAGTAGTCAAACTTTTTACAGCAACTGTAGCAATGAAAAAAATAAATGTGAGCAAAACAAACGAACACCCCCAGTTCAACTCCCAAAAACCCATGCTGGACTTGTGCTGTGGAAAATATTGAAGTTACTCTGTATTCACTGTCTGCATTGTAATCAATAGGAAATTATTTGCTGTTCTTAGATGTGGTATAAAGTGACCTTGCTGTGTCTTATTTAGGAACATAGGATACAAATTTCTTGCTTATACTCAGCATCCACCTTGTTCATCATCTAAACTTGGACAGTCGTGTGTGCCATACTTAAAGGAAGATTCAATTAGAAAATACTTTCTAAGGTTTCTTCTTCATCTCTGGTAAAGATTAATTCAAACCTAAATAGTGAGAGTGCTTCTTCTTCCTTCTGTTGTGATTTGTGTATGGATGCATATTCTTTTGTTTATAATTTTTTGAATAGGCATCTGGTTCTGTGGTATGTCCTGTGTACAGTTATGTCAGTGCTACTTGAGGATGATGAGTTTCAAACTGATTGTTTGTACTGAAAGACTCATACCTATGTGAAACCCAATTTTAGCTTTTTTTTTTTCTTTTTTTCTTTTTTTCCTTCTGTGAGGGTGTAAATGAACAGAAAATTTGATTTGTTTTCCTTAATGTTAATTTCCTGTTCTGACTTCACTGTTTTTGTTACATCCTTTAAGATACAGTGAATGCAATGCTGCATAGAAAGTTCTACCTTTGCTGTAGGTAATCAGTTATTTTCCAAGTAGTTATTTCATTATTGCCTTACAGGTAATGACAGTGAGAAACACTTAGCTGTGTCAGCAGCTGATAGAAATAGGTCATGTTTTGATTACGTCTTACCTGAAGAAAATTTACCAATCAACAATTGGATGGCATTAAGAGCAACAGTTAGATAAAACTAACTGCTGGTTTTACGCTGCGGTTACTCCAGGTATGTCTTTGTTCTCAATCATTAGAACATTTGTAACATGCTTGTAGCAATAGAACAGGAGGGTTGAGTTTTCTATAACTGCAGTTCTCAGAAAATTGTCCAATTGAGCTACATCCTAGTGTGTAACAAACGGAAGTTCTCTGGTGATGGAACTGTTTTTGTAGTTACTTCCCAGAGCTGCTTAGTGAGCCACAGAATATCCCGAGTTGGAAGGGACTCACGATGATCACTGAGTACAACTCCCAGCTTCACGCAGGGCTACCTAAAACTTAAACAATGCTTGTGATCGTTGTCCTATGGCTTATTGGTGCTGTGACTGCTGCCCCATGCTGTGAGTACCCAACCATTCTCTCAATGTAGAACTTTTTCCTAATATCCAATGTGACTTGCAGTCTGTGGAGTCTAGTCTGTGTGCTGTTTGGTTTTTGAGATTGAACATCGCTGCACTATGAGATGACTCTAAAAACCTAGTGCTTGAGCCTAAAATCCTATTACTTGCCTACTCATCCTTACACTTTCCAGCCTCAATGATCCCTCTCTGTTCCATGTCCTTGCACAGACTGATGCAAAAAAGGAGGATATTTTAAAGGATTGAGTGTGTATATAATAGTTTGTAAAATTCTAAAAAGAAAGGTCTCTTACTTAAATTTACCTGGGGGCAGTGTCTGGTTGCTAAGGTTTGAGATGCTTTATTCAGTACCACCAATCTTCCCTTATCTTCCAACTGTAGCAGAACACTGAAATTGTTACATAAGGAGGACTGAATGCAACAGTTGCTACACTTGCAGGCATTTCATAAATGTGCTCTCCAACACAGTGATTTTAGTAAACTCTTCTGAATTCCTCTGACCTTTGCATGAACACAACTAGGATAGCTCAGGAGGCTGTCTTTTTTCAGGACAGTGCTTAATTAGGTACTTAACTGGAATGCGGAGGTGCTTTCCGAGTAAGCAATTGATCTAAGTATGCACTTGAAAATGTAAGGAGAAGATAGTCTATTGCATGTAACAGGTATAAAAATTTGGCACCGAATTTCATAGCCTAAAACTTACTGTGTGTTTGTAGACCTGTGAATATGACAGCCAAATGAAATCCTGATTTGAAAATCACCTGTAAAAGCTGCCAAAATAAAATGGAGCATGTCATAAGTAATGAGGACTTAGCTAAGAGAATGTTAAGCCAAACTGTTTTAATTCCTAGCTGCCTCGAAAGCTATTTTGCAAGTAAAAATAACTACTTTTCAATACTTCTATTACAGATGAACTCCTAATGCTTAGTTACCTGTAACTGCAGAGGTTTCAGTCAAATTACCCTATGTGTTATCTGTAACTGTGTGGTGTATTCACTGCGTGCTGATACACTCGCAAACTATCATGGTTGCCCTGGCGCTACTTTTGCACACAGAACAAGAATGCTGTTTGTATCTTCTGACAGCAGCCGTGTCTGGTGAAGGGGTGCAGGCGGTGGTTAGTCTCTGGTACCTGTCTTTCAGATAGTCCAAGGTTTGCTGCAAGTTCTGACTTTCTCCTTATTGTAATGTATCTGTTGCAGTGAAATTCCTTCTCCAATTCTAGTCGCTGATGGTCTGTGTAAACAACCCGGTACTTCTCTTTTGTTCTTGTTTTACCTGTTTGAGAAAGAAATGTTATTCATTCATTCCAGTTGATTTTCTGTAGCATCTTTCTTTCACACCTTTCAAACAATTTACAGACAGTTACTAAAACTACAGAGTACTTGCATAAGACTGTTTTCTGAGGTAATTTTCTTTCTTACAGAGAAGGAATATGGGATGCATAGTAAATAAGTATTTTTTTCCTAGATGTTCTGGGAGCACATTGGTTACCTTTTAACCTCTTTCTCTTTCCCTATCTCTCTCTCTCTCCCTGTAAACATACATTTAAATATAAAGTTCTTATGCAAAAAAAAAAAAAAAAAAAAAAAAAAAAAAAAGTCCTGAAGCATCTTAAATTCATAGCAGTACCTTAGTTGATACTGGATATATTTGACTTCCAGATTTCATGTCGTTGTTCGTGGAAGTGACCTCTGTTTCAATCTACGTAGACATAAATATCACAGAATTTCAAGACTGACTCTCAGTCACAATTTGTTTATTTGTGCCACGTCCTAACTTTTTATCTGGGCTTTTATAGCTCACTTCTGTGACGCAAAGAAACATCCACTAGAAGTGTGTCCCCCATCCATTTCGTTATACTTAGAAGTTCAATAATAATGTGATTTTTTTTTTTTTTTTTTTTTCCAGTAAGGTGCAATCTTGCAAGACGCTGAGTGCCTGTACTGCTCTGCGGGGGTTACTCGGTGTGCTGAGTTTCCATCTGAAACAGAGTGCCCTTGACAACTTATAAGTCTAGACAATAAAAAGCTTGTAACGTGCTTTTCTTTTGATTGGATGAATAGTGTTAAGAGAAAAGTTTAGCAGAAGTTTAGAAGGTATTTTTCATTTCTTACACTTTTTAAGACAATTGTTTGTCTAGTATTAACACAGAGATCACTTTTCAACTGATTTTCTTCCCTCTTTCCCTTTTAACAGCCAAGTAGGTAGTTGTTCTTTTTCATCTTCCCAGGTTTCTGCTTTTTTGATGTGAGTTTTCTGGGACAAACTGTAAGACAAAGGCTCCTTTAAAGTGGTTCTCTAAAATCCACTGAGGTGTTAAGATGAAGCACACGCCACACAAAAGAGCGACAAGGAGATCTTATCAAGAACTGCTTTTACATTCAGAAACACAAGCCAATTGGTTTGGAATTTACAAGCCCTAAACAAATGTCAGACTCTTTCATCTTAGCAGAAGAAAAAAGGACAGAAATAAATCGATTATTTTTTTCTTCAGCTCTCTTCAGGGCAATCGTACATACACTGAGATATTTTTATATGAAGGAAACATAGGTTAAGACATTTTGAAATACAGAAAATGAAGGGTGTTTTCCTAACTTCTGTGCCGCTCTGATTTCTAGCTTGCAGGATTTTCCTTCTTAATTTTGCAGGGTGAAATCATTCATTAAGTTGAAGTTTACTTTTTTAGAAGCTACAATTTCTTGGCTTTGAAATATTTGCTCTAGATGATAGTTATAATGCTAACAAGAGTATAGATATTCAGATTCCTTGTAAACTAAAGGCTTAGAAGGCAATCTTTGAAAAGGAGTTAAAATTCAACAGGGTTATTCCGGATTCAATATAATCAGCAAATATAGCCATGATTTGAAGGGGTGGAGAAAAGGAGCAGTTTTCGCCCATTCCCCTTGGTCATAAAATTCACAGAGCATTTCTTCTGAAGACAATAAAGCTAGGAGAAGGCCTCTTTATTTGCTGTGAAAATCATCACCCTTTCCGGCAATATAACTCCTGAAGAAAAAAGGGAGAAGGAAGAGACAAGGCTGCATATCAAAGCAAAGAGAAGTGTTGAGAGGGTCTGTTGCCTCAATATGACAGATAGGCCTCAAAACCAAAGACAACGTAGCCCAGTGGAAAATAGATGTCCTGACTAGTTTACAAAGTAAAATAAATTAGTGTTAGAGCTGAGACTTGGCCGTTTTGCTTTTCTGTTTTGCTAACTGTGCTACTGCTGTGATGTAATCTGAATTATTTGGACGTCAGTGCTTGTTATGACATAAAAGTATTGAGTGTACTTTAATAAACAAAAACAAACAAACAGAAAACACTGAGCAACCTGAAGCTGGTCTTGCAAAATATAAAATAAACTCCTGTCCTTTTCCGTGGTTCCCTTGAAGTCATTCTTTTTCTGAGAAGAATCATTCCCAGCTGAAATTTCATATAAATGTAAAGATTTAAAGTTCTTGACCTTTGTTTAGACATGGTCTCTTTAGTAAGTTTCATGCCTTGAAGATTTGTTCTCATAGAATTGCACATTTTACACATGAGCTTACAGGGTTTAGATATGATTTAGTCTAAAGTTTTAGTTTTGCATAATTGCAGTTGTTAGGACACACTGAAAGCGTGCTTCTTCTCAGTTTTGGAGCCTGTATGTGAAGATACCTTTACCACGTCTGCTTTGAATGTTTGTTTTTTAAACTTTCTCTTTCTTGTTGATAAATGCATTTGCAATGTCTGTATGTTTAAGAAAAATATTTCTTCTGAACATGCAGTTACGGTTTTCTACTTAGAAGATACATTAACAGTAAAATTTCAAACCAGATTTGAACTGTTGTAAGCACGCAGCACTGCTGTCTTTGTGGTGCTGCTGCACCCTACGGGTTTTCTTGCTCCGATAATTTTTTGCTTCAGCCTTCCTGATTTTTTTGTATAAAATGCCAAATACGTTGAGTCAGAGTAAATAGAGGGAAAGAATCCAATTAACATTCTGTTTCTTGAAATAGTTCCCAGCGTTAGCATTTTAGTAGGTTCCCTCATTTAATTAGGTGTGCTTGGATTTCTTTGTTCCATGCTGCTCACGTGAATTTGTGTGACTGTGCACTGTAAGTGATGCTGAGGATATAGGTATGTATATAAAGATTTGTAAAACTCAGGGCTAAATAATCCTGAAATTTTAGAAAAAGAGCAATATTGGTCAGCAGTAAGATTGAAGGGGAGGAGCCAGTCGTGAGCAAGTCTGCTTCAAAGAGTGGTTAGTGGCATCAAGGTTTTATGTTCTAGAGGAGGGGTTGACAAGTTAATATGTAGTTACTTGCATAATTTTATTTTTGCAATTATATTGGAATTTAATTTCATGAAATTTCTGGTGCCAATTTTTTCCACTTTTTATACTTTAACATTGTAATAAAAGCACTGCTGAAGAGCCAAATGTAATTTGGTACGTTCCTTGTTTTGCAAAATAGCCACGTTTGTGTTTTACTTTCCCAAACCCTTTGCATTAAGCAGGTTTGCTGTCTTCAGTCAAATTCAGTGAAGTCTTGAGCTGTTTGTAACACTTCAAAGGACTGGGCTCCCGGACTGTAAAGCCTCAGGACATTTCTCTATGCACAGCCCCCAGTTCACCTGTCCAGTGTTGTTCATGAAGTATGTCAGCATGGGTGTAAACTGTGCTTTTCAGACTAGGGATGGATTGAAACACATAACAGCTTTCCTGAGTTTTGTATGCATTTCATGAAATTGAGCATGGGTGAAACTTTGCAGTGTCTTCCTTGTCTGTGCATTAGGTGTAAAGCTAAGGTTTAGATTTTGTGTGTTTTAATTTAAAAAAAACCCTAGCAGGTTTAAACTTTAGTGACAGGGCAGAAGGGACTGGCTTGTTGGTGTTGCAACTGTCTCACTTGCTTCTGGTCTACCTTAGCTCTTGCATCACTTTTACACCTGGAAAACTCCAATAATGTTAATGAAGTTACTGCGGATTTACACGAGGATACGTAGTTGGGGGGGATAGACTTGAAATCTGCCTGGCTTTGAAGACCTTCGTGAAGGCTTCCAGTGGAAATTACAGATTGCGATACCTTAATGTCCTCTAGGCATTTTATACTTGGTAGCAAGGAGGAAACAGCACATATCTACTTTATAACTGAGAAACAATTATTAGACTAATTTTACTCTTGAGTGGAAAGATTGTTTCTCAAGTGGCACTGCTGATTTTCTGTCTTCTAGAACTGCTCCAATTGTCATTGCAGTTACTTCCTTAGAGTGTTTTCTTTGATGCTCTCTGACACGCACTTACAACTTTTAACCTTAACAATGGATTTAACAAACCTTGCTACTCACTATTTACACCTTGGGAATATACACAGAAAAGTTCCTCTGGCACGTGGCCTGTGACTGAAACGGGCACATCAAGGAATGACACTTGGAAGAGAATGAATTTAGTTGTCTAATAGTAACAAGCTGCAGGATTTTGATTTGAAAGTGAATGAAGCAAAAGCTTTGGTAGAGATAATGTGGTGTGCAAAGAAAATAGACTGCGCTGAGTATTTGAGTCAGATTACTTGTCTAGGGATATTTCTTCTCATCTGATAAATATCACAGGATCAACAGATGAAAATTGCATTATCACATAATTTTCTTTTAAAGTTTTAAAAGTCTGCAAAGGTTTAAGATCAGCCAGCTTGGTATATTGATCTTTACCTTGTGGCACAAAATGATTATGCGGTGGTTTTGCACATAACCGCTAAAAGCAATGTTTTCAGGTGTCAGTTTTCATCTATAATGCTTTGTATTTGTTAGAACAAAGATACTCAGGCGTGAGTTAGATGTAGGCATGAGTTAGATGTAGCGATGTGTAAACACAACAGCCATTCTACTGTAATCATATAAAACCTTTATGGGGTGAAAGTGAAACTAGTGCAAATTTAGTTAAAACTGCATTAAGCAGTAGTAGGTTAAATAAATGTCATGGGTGACCACCGACATATGTGCTTTAAGTAAAGTTAATTATTTCTAAGATCAGTGATAGCAGAAAAGTTCTTTTTGAGGTGGAAAGTTTAGTATGCGCTTACCAGTAGTGTTAGCTTGCACCGTTTTCCTCATCCATTCGTAAGAGCTGTGCCTTTGGCTGGTGGGGGAGCCCTGCTGTGTGCCACCGGTACCTGCAGGAGGTAACCCCCCGGCTGCGGCGGGATGCAGGGAGCTGTACTCAGCTGGGCTGTAGGAGCCCTGCCCAGGAGACGAGGCGCTGAGCTGCGCGGCAGCAGCCGTGCCGGAGGGCCCCGGGCACGGGCCGTAAGCGTTCCAGTCCTCCCTCTGGGGGCCGTAGTGGGGTCCCCAGGCTCCCGCGGGCTGTCCGTGGCCGTCTGGAGCTGGCACGTGGTGGTACCCCATGTAGTCTGAGTAGGGGGGAGCGGGCACAAAGTTCTGCACTGGCAGGTTGTTGTTGCTGCACCTTGCGGGTCCTGGATACATGCTGGTCTCTTTATCCAGGAGAGAGCTCACGTACATGCTTGCAGAATGTAAATGTGTTGTCACAACATCTTGCTCTTCTGTATTTTCTTTTGCTGCTTAAAAATAATCTTGATTTTTGCTAATAGTGCTAAACTGCTTGGAATCTTCTACTTCATCCTCTTTTATTATCAACTGTGTTACCAGGTGCTGGTGGTAATGGTTTACCAAGATCTTGTCTGACGTCAGCCAAACTGCCAGCCTCATAATTACATTTACATTCAAATGAAGGGCTGACCAACCCCACCTTGCTGCTAGTTCTGGTGCTTTCTCTTTTAGAAAACTTTTATCTATGCCATTACCCTTCACTGATATTCGACAGTGATTCCACTCCTGTAATGTGATGCAACTCTTACTCGTATTTGGAACGTAGTAAATAGACCTTTTTGAAAAGAAAATTGTCTAAATACCATACACTGTTATTATAGTTTAAATGATTCTTTTCTGGAATATATATTTTTTGTCACATGTTGTCAATCAATAAGTAAATCTATTACTCTCTTAATTTCTCAGATGCTCATTCTGAATTCTCTTATTAATGGATGCAGTCAATTTCACTAATAACTGTCTCAAAAATTTCCCACTTGTTATTGATGTTTGTAAGTTTTGCCAGCATAGGAGTAATTAAAACTCTCTCTGCCACAAGTACGTTCATGCTCTCCCCGTATGTGGTGGTTTAAAGAAATCTCTCGGCTGCTGCATACTGATAAATTTTAAGAAGTAGACAATAAGCCAAAACTATAACAAAGACAGTAGCAGATATGTAAAGAAAATGACAAAAAAAACACCACGAATAAAGTTTTTTATTAGGCCTGGCAATATTGTTGGCTTCTGATTCGAGTTGATGACAACTCTTATGTATCTGAAAGGCCTTCCTCTGAAACTCGTGTGTAGTTTGTTCAGTGGTGGCAGCTGGAACGGTGGCATGAAGTGGCTGCATCCTCTGGCAGAGGTCAGAACTGCCCTGCTGAGCGTCTGCTGGGTGCTTGGCACTTGGTACTGTGCAGGTGAGCTTTTTCACAAAGAGGAATGATTCCAAATTTGTTGTTGTATGTTAGTATTAGGTATTAATGTGGGAGAAATAGGCCACTCTTTATGACTTTAGAATTGCCTCGTTACAATTTGTAGAGTGCCTTTGATATCAGATTTTTATTGTGGATTAATTTACTTGCTATGAGCTATTTGTCAGGGATACATTTGCAAAAGAGGTGCAAATTGTAATGACTCATTTCCATTTATGAAGTTGTGGATCTTCATTCAGCAGCCTTTGAATTTTGGTGCTGCTTATACTCGCACATCTCTTCTAATTTCAGTACCAACAGATTCTATGAACTTAGAGAGGAAGGATTTTTATTTTATTTTTTTTTTTAAGAAAAGACATTTAATTAATAAATGCTGTGGTCTTTAAGGTGTTTTTTTTTTTAATATATTTATGCATTTATTTCTTGATCCATGAGATAATGCTGAGGAATGTTGGGATAGGACATGGAGGAAGTTAGAGCCCTGTAATTGATATGCTCCTTATTTAAAAAATAAAAGTAAAAGCAAAAGAATACGTGTGGCCTCAGTGAGCATGGCTCAGTTTGAACAAAATACTGATGCTATTATATACAATACGTGTACATACTAACAGCTTAATTTTTAACTGTCTTCCTTTGTTTATGCTTCTCCTCATACCACCACAATTTTGCTATCACTTGATCCTATTTTTTGTATCTCAGAACCTTATCCTTCATTCCTTGTTCTTCTTTTATCTTTTGTTTATGCTCCTCCTTTCCCTTTCTTGTTTTGCCTGTTCCATTATCTGAAATTTCTTTAGATCTATTTCGATTCTTTCCAGAAAGTAATTAGATCAAGATACACTGATCACGAATTGCTGTACTGATTTGATATCGGTTGACAATAGTAAGCTTTGAATAAGGCATTTTGTTTAAAAAGATTTACATAGAAGGATAAGATTGCTGGGTAAGACTGCAGATTTTTTAACACCAGAGTGAGAATAAGATAACTAAAATGGTAGCATTCACATCATCTCCCACAGCCTGGCTCTTATGTCTCCCATTTCGTATCAAAGAACTGTGTGGATCATTAGAAAGGAACCTCATCTTTTCACAGTCTAGTATTTTAAGGATACCATAATTTTGGACTTGGTGGGTTTTGAGAGCTAATTGACTGTTAATCAAAGCCTGCCTTCCCAAGAGTAATTTCTCAGCCACCCATGTGCCATTCTGCTCAAATCCACCCTACTATTAGCTTCAGAGCCACAGAGCTGCATCAGCTTCAGTGTAGCAGTGACAGAAACCCTTTTCCCTGTCCATGTTTGCACTGTGATGGAGCAGCAGTGAGTTGTTGGTGAGAAAGCAAGGGTGAGTGTGCTACTTATGGTTGTTCCAAGTGGTTGTGGAACTGTCGTGTCACCATGGTCACTCTTTGCCTTTCTGGGATGATAAGAAAGGGGAAGCTGATCTGAGGCAGTGGGCTGGGAGTCCCACCCATACAGAAGCTTATATTTATACAGTTTTCAGCAGTGGGCAATAAAAGGCAGAATAAGAATCGTTGGTAAGGTACTGGCAGCAAGACTGCTGGCATGCTTCAGAGACCCTGGTGGCCGGAGTGAGAACTGAGCTCCAAGGTGACCATTTTTCATTTTACTCCAACCATCAAAATATTATGTCTAATTTAGCCACGGGGAATTGCCTGAGCTCTTGGTTGGAATGAAGTGGCTTGTGTGTAAAATTAAATATACTTAGGTAGCTCTGAAAGCAATGTCTCCTATTTGTTTCCATGGAAACTACAACAGCTACAAAGTGTGCGATAATACTATTTGATAGAGCAAATTCTCAGATACAAACCCCTATTTTTTTTTTTCATAGTCACCTCCATTACCAATGCATTTTCACCAGCAATAAACTAGAGCCTGCATGCTGTGTTTGTAAAAACTTGCCTGGCCATCCACTGCTGAAATGCATCACCCACTGCCTCGCTGTGCTCACATCCACTGCTTGGCTTCCATAAACGCTTAGCAAGCTCTGATGAATGTCAGTGAGTAAAATTTTTTCCACATGGAGGAATTCACATCTACCCTTTTGTTTCATATGCACTTCTGTGTTAGATGCCACTGTGTCAGGCTGCCTCTCTGCTGCCATCTGCCACATAGCAACAACACGTAAAGGAATATTGGTAGGAAGGTTCAACCTGTACTGCTGCACCATCAATGTGCGCCTCTGACATCATGGACCAACATAATAAAAATAGGAGGCATTACTTTTGGAGCAGCCCTCGTGTTTTATGTACATTTACTCTTTGGGGAAGAAAATTGTCTAGTTTTCTAATAAGTAGTTGATGAAAATGGAGTCACAGCAACAAACGTAGTGACAGCCATTGGAACCATGCAGGTTTTATTTTCGCAGGCAGTGTCGGTGTACCGCAGTATGGGTGCTGCTCTAAAGAGCATTTCCAACGCCAGCAGTAACAGCGTAACCACAAGTATGTGGGTATGGTGTTTTAATGGCAAGTGTTATAGCTGCAATTTCAGCAGTACTGGTAGATTAAAATTGGCCTGTACAATGTGTGAATGAAAGGTGTTTATACCTGTGATTGTTTTGATAAGCATATTGTGAATGCTTCCTCACAAAGTCACTCTCCTTTTTGTATAAAGATAAGAAATATATTCCTGACACTTGAAAATTGTATGCAATCTACTTTCTGGGGTAACGTTTCTGAGGAGAAGAAAGTATACAAGCTCAGTATGTCTCATCCCAGCTAAGGTGCTGGGAACAGATGTTTGTTTCCTTGCCTCCAGGGAATTGCTCCAGTAACACATCAATAATGTAGGGCTTGGGAATACTTCTTGCTGGCACCTTTATAACTGCATGCCTACAGTTTCAGTGGAATGGCTGGCTAAGGAGTTAGCTAGGGAGCTATCATATTAATGATGGATTTAATGTAATATTCCAGAGATGTTACCCTTTATTCAAACCAGGCTTTAAATGCACACTCAATCTTCATAACTTTAATAGCTGTATAAATCTGAGGGAAAGGACAGTCAGTACAGAGCGTGCTGTCAGCTGAGGTCAGTTTTGATGGAAAAAACAGTCTATTAATTCAGGAATGAAGGCTTTGGCTTCTAAATTTTAAAACAACCACTGAAGAGAGTGATCTTGCTTTTATGGGAGCTTTCAGAAACACAACCATTCTGAAGATGTTATTTACTCTTTTTAATTGGGATGGTTTAATATATGACAGTCTAGTTAGGTCTCATTTTCAGGGTATGAGATGCCAGACCATGACAAATTTTCTCCTTGCTGATGAGTGTGGTACAGCTCAGAGAGCTGAATCAGCCATGGTAACTGAGTTACTTTCACTTGCTGCAGAAAATAGAGAGATTTCGGTAGTTCCACTCCGTACCAACAAGTAGAAATAGAAATGTCCATGAAGCCTTCCTCAATGCTGCAATTTTGAATTCCATACTCTTACATTTTGCTTGTTAACAAATCCTTCTATAAAATCATTGATATTGAAAAGTGAATTGTTGGGAGTATGGTGATCATGTTTACCCTTCGGCCCCTTATAGCTGTTTTTCTGACTGCTGCTAACAGTGATTTAGCTTTCTTTTCCTAATGTTAATTTTTCCCCTTCCTTAAGGCAGTGGCACCATGTGTCATGTATGATTGGCACCAGTGTTGCATGTGCTAGGGAAGTGTGTCTTCTGATCTGAAATCGGGACAATTTAAGATCTGTTACAAAATCAATACAAACAGTAATAAAAGTGTGTCTAACTGCTCAGCAAACAGTCTTAGTGCAGCAGGTCTTAAAGAATCTGTATGTGAAATGCAGGTTAAATTGATCCTTTTTAGCAGAGCTGTAAAAAAGGATCAGCAGATCTTCTGTTGAGATTCGTTTTCCTTCCTAAACCTGCGGTGTGGGGTTCCCACTTACTGTACTAATTCATCCTGACTGGAATACAGCTAGATGGGGGTTGTTTGGTGCTCAGTATTCAGTCCTTTGGGTGTTCCTTGAGTGTGGTCTTAGTTTTTCATGAGGAAACAAAGGATTTGATCGCTTTTACTGTTTACAATTCTTGCTATACACGTGGCTTATGTTCCTGGCAGACCAGCCTTTCTGTCACAGAAATTTAACTGTTCTTCCTTGCTCTCA